AAAACGGACAAAAAGAATAAGAAACTACTGTGGACAGAAAAATGTGAAACAGCACTAAACAGGGTAAAACAAGCATTCGCATCGGAACCTATTCTCAGATTACCAAATACAGATCAACCCTTTATCCTCTGCACGGATGCCTCTTCGGTCGGTATAGGTGCATGTCTATTACAAGAATTTAACAATGAACTCCACCCAGTTCAATACATTAGCCGAAAATTGTCGTCAGCTGAGAAAAACTACGCAGTCATTGAGAAAGAATGTCTGGCCATAGTCTGGGCCATAAACAAGTTTGCCAGATACCTGGCCGGTGCACACTTCACTTTACAGACCGATCACGCGCCCCTACAAGCACTAAAAACAAAGAAGCTGTCAAACGCAAGACTGGTACGCTGGGCACTGAGCTTACAAGATTATCAATTTGACATTGTTCCTGTCCCCGGCACACAAAACGTGTTGGCCGACACGCTGTCACGCAACTAGAACATAGGTCATACAACTCTGGTCATCAGGAATGTTAGGAATCTAAGTCGCCGAGAAATCGGCGTGAAGTAAAAGTCAGAACTGAAGCCAAAGAAGTCATTTAAAGTCAATCGAGGTCAGTCAGCGATGTTTATGAAGTCAGTGATGTCGTTGGAACCTTTGAAGTCATATTGAAGTTGTTGAAGTCAAAGTGAAGACGTTTAAGTCGTCGAAGTTTAAGTCAGTCAGTGAAGTCTTTTAAGTTGAATTGAAGTCAGTCAGTGAAATCTGTCGTCTAGGTCAAGTTAGTCGGCAAATGGAAGTAGTTGGAATCGTCGAAGTAAAGTTAATCGTGAATGGGAAATAAGTCGTAAATTGAATTCAGTGAAGTTACTGAAGTCAGTTAAAGTGAAATAAGGCAAGCTACTGAAGTCATAAGTGAAGTCAGTCATTAAGTCAAGCCAGCCAGTTTTTTGTCAGAAGTCAGATAGTGAGAGCTGCTCCACTATATGATCACGTGTTGAAATGGCACGACACACACTCACATGTCTATTCTTTTTGTGAAGCTATTTCTAAGCTCTAGTAGTGTTTACGTCTATTGAGTTTATTAGGCTTTACAGATTGTTGTTAGATTAGAGTGTACTGATTTTTTTTTATTTGGTTATGTTGTAATGTTATTTTTTAATGTTTGTTATGCCGCCAGACAAGTGTTCAGCACGTTTAAATTTGGGATTGAGGTTTTTTTAATGGAAGGTACCTCTGTCTGAATACTTGTCTGCGCGGACACTAAAATGTTCACGTAGAACCATTGCTCATGGTCTCGTAATACAATTTCAGACCCACCAGCGCTATTCAGAATGAGACGAGATGAAGCCGACACTTCAAAGAGTGCCGCCACCTGAAGCCCTGATTACGTTGAATTACCTGGACAGCGAACAGCCTTGCTTAACAGAGAATTGCCCTGGTCAAGACAGCGGACGCATCGCCACCGCTTCGCCCCCGCACTGGGGTTGAATAACAGACCGCCAGCTACGTACACCTACGTCGGCACATACAAAGGGTAGACGACCCATCGTCCAAGTTCCCAGCGTCGGAACGTTACGTCAATGTTCGCCACCGCATCAGACAGCTCCAGTTCATCGTATAACCACTCTACGTGGACGTCTCAACCAGCGTTGAGTTTGTTGCGTCATCACATTGACCAACGAAAGTTACGCCTACACCCGCCTCACGGGAATTTACATCAAAACTCGCCACAACCCACCCACCACAGAGGAACGCCAACAATTACATAACACTTACACATACACTTACACTGCTCGCAGAGCCCGTTCAACCAGTTACACATTCTACTAAGATTAGCTCAAGGCCAGTACACGACAACCTAGCCAGAACTGAGTTTCACATGATTGGATTCACACATTCCATAACATAGACATACATTATCAAGCAGAAACACTACAGACGTCAGGATACTTACACAAGAACTAGAACAATGACATTTTTTTTTCAGGAACACAGACACAAGATTTTATGTTTTTGTAAACTGTGCTGTCCCATTTTTTATTTTGATTTATATGATTGATGTTAGGGATAGAATAGAGTAGTAAGATAGATAGTTGTTGATGTATTAGATTAGTAGCAGACGCTGAAAAATATAATTTGTCAGCTACAGAAAGGGAGGGAGATATGTGATGACGCAAGATTACGTCAGACATGTTAGCAGATATAGGTTAGCAGAAACAGACTATCTATAGGCCTAGTTGGTTGGTCAGATAGAGGCCAATGGGCGCACAGGGCTGACCGGTCACATGGGACGGTCAGCTGACCACTGAGGCGTGGGTCAGTAGAGCGATGGGCCAGGAGTTGATAGGTAGCGGTCAGAGACGGCCGAGGAATGTAGACAGTTAGGAGTTCATGATTAGCTAGCGAGGTAGAAGGTGTGAGATTGTAGAATGTAGAGAACAGTTAGTGTTAGGATTGGTCGTAGTAGTAGGTAGCATGTGGTATGAACAGTCAGTAGTAGTAGTAAATAGTACAGTGTAGATCAGTTAGGTAGAAACTTGAACATATATATCATTTTAATAAAGAACAATTATAGTTGAACTTGAACTGCGTGTTGTTGGATACATTCGTTACCGCCATCATAAAACCCCCACCCTCACAACTACCTATGTCTGCCTTGAGAAGCACCATTATAATCTCTTCTTCTTCTTCTTCAGTCTTAGTTTTAGTGTTGGAAGGGAATCCCTCCAACACAGTTAAGTATTTGTGTCAACTGGTTATGCGCCATTTAGGCAGTTAACTCTGATTTCAGCCTGTTTTCTTTTTAGCCTGCTTTCTTTTTAGAATTGCTTCCATAGACTTTGTCCAAACAAGAACAAACTACAAGGCAGCAGTTGTTTGATTTTGGAGTTGTCTCTCCTGGAAGAAATGCTGTCCCCAACTGTCAAGCCTCATCTGCCTGAGGGTTTGAACATCAGTTAAGCAACCATGAGCTTTACTGACTCGAACTTAAAGACCCCTATGATTATAATAAAATAACCTAAAAATCCACCATCTTTCCTAATTAGTTTTATCCAACCAGAACTCCAACATATATATATATATATATATATATATATATATATATATATATATATATATATATATATATATATATATATATATATATATATATATATATATATATATTAACATGATTTTAGAAATCCTATAGAGTTTTGGATGTGTACTGATGAGTTTTGAAAATTTAATGTATCTGCAAAAACATGTTAAAAACTGAATGTTACTTGCAACAGCCCCTTAAAACAGCAAGTAGCTGAGATGACATTTAATAATACATAAAAACATCCTCCTGATTAAACAATAAAATGTTTGCCTATTATAATGAATATTTAAATTTTTTTGTTACTTCAGCCCATTGCTGCCTTTACAATTCCCTTAACATTAACTCGACAAACTGGGCAATCCCTCATAGCTACAGCACATTCTCCACAGGACACCAGATGACCACAGGGCAGGAACACAACAGAAACTTCTTTGTCCATGCAGATTTTACAAATTGTTTGCTGACGGAGTTGGTTGTTTTCTTCTTTCATGGCTCTGATATTTTCTGAGGTAGAAGGAAGAAAATTATAACATTACTCAGCATAGAAATATTAAATATACATATAACTTCCTCAATTAAAATAATGATGATCATGTTGTTTATATTTAAATAAAGAAAAATATTATTGCAAGAAAAAAATTAAAAACACAAAAACAACTGAGAAATTTAAACAAATTTGGTGACTGAAAAGAGCTGGCAAAATAAATGTGACTGCCTCTTACATTTCTTGTAAGATTATAAGAGAATCAATAAAGATATAACATCCTTAACATTAACACCCAAAGTTATTTTGCATAAATTCATTTGTGCTATATATTTATTTTATAAATATTAGAAAAAACCTGCATAAATAATTACTTATGTATATTACAAAATAAAGCAATGAAAGAAACTAAACCTACCCAAAACATTTGGTTGATCCACTAAAGGTTCACTGTTTCTTGTGATGTTTAACCTTCTCTTCCCTCCCTGTTCAAGTTTTTGTATGATGTTATCAGCAGATAAAATGTTGGCTGCCAAATAGTAAAATAGATTAAGAATTAGAGAACAAATATAGGTGTATACTATGTTTTTTAGTGTTAGATCTTTTTAAATTAAATTTCAACATTTAATTAAACTGAAATGTAAAATTCACTTTACAACTGCTTTAATTGTCTATTTCTATTTAATATTATTCTAAGACTGACTGAAGTTTCATCTAATAACAAAAGTGCAAAGTTTAAATACAGGTACTTTGACTATTTGGGTAGAACTACTAATATATTTAAATATGTGGATGTATGTTTTTTCACAGTTTTGAGTGCATACAAGAAGTCAACAATACAAACATAATTTAAAAAACAACAATAGAATATTAAAAAGGGAAAGAAAATCAGCTTTCCAATGTTTTTAATGTACTAACTCTATAAAGCAGATGATTATCCTACAAATATTCAATTTGAACAATTAAATTAAGAATTACAATGATATATAAAGTTATAAACTGCGCCACGTCTCAAGGCTTACGATGTTAATAGATCTACTTAAAGGTAAAGAGAAAAGGCCAGTTTATTTACCTTCTTGTTTAACTAGTTCAGCAGCCTGCAGTACATCAGCAAACAGATAGCCCAGATCTACAACAGCTCTGACTGCTGCATCTCTTGTCAGATTTTCTTTAGACACTGAATAGACGAAATATTGTTAAAGCATTTTAAAACATACAAGATTTGTAAACTAAATGTTTAGGCAAATAAAGAAACAAAAACATGTTGAAAGAATTTAGAACTATACATAATATTTTAAAAATAATTATTTAGACAAATAAATAACTCAAAAAAATATTTAATAAAAAAACAACAACAACAAACAACAAAATATAGGATATTCTGTATTTTTCAACTATGGAACAAATAAAAGCAATGCCAGAATTAACAAAAGCTCTACTCACTAACACAAAGATCTGACTCAGCAACTCCCATAGTGTCTGCTACTAGTTTTAGTGAGATCTGAAAATAAATAAAATAACAACTTCAAATCAAGAAAAAAAAAACTAATTAATCATTACCCCATGCTTCAGCAGGTAAATTTATAATAATTCAAATTTAATTTAGCTAGCAGGCCTGCCTTAGAGGATATTTTTTTTATTAAGTTCAACTGAAATAAATAAAAGACCAGTTTGAAGTTTAATGTAACAAACCTTAAGAAAATTAAACCTACCTGGTCTCTGTCTGTGTTAAGATTCTGTACTGTATCTATGAACGCCTGACCCAAAGTCTGGCGGAGATAGCCACACTTAGGGAACCATCTGGCATGTTCCACCAACACGTCATCTTCATCTTCCCAGTTCCTGAGTCCACCACCACAGTAGAAACACCTGGCACAGTCACCATAACCTGTTGGAAGAAATTTTTGTTGTTAGCACAAAATAACTATTTTTTTTTTATTTTTTAGCTTAAAGATTTATTTATTTATTTAATGTTTTGCCTGAAACGGTATAAATTTAAACAATATAAATACCTAAATCAGGTACAGCTGACTTTCTATGCTTAATAGATTTAAATGTTTATATTTTATAAGTTAATTCGGCAATCTCAGATATTTAAATTATTGTTTCGATTGAAACTACATGTTTACAGTACTTATGTTCCCAATATAATCCTGATAATTAAAAAATAAAAAACAAAGAATCAATACACTAAAATATTCTACACTCTATTGTATAAAAATGTGTAAAAAAATCTTTAAATAGTTTTTATTTCCTTATATTTATAATTAAATTATTTTATATCTTAATTAAAAAAAAATATAGCAACTACTTTGCTAAAAATAACATTTAAAAATTCTAATTTGGTACCGACCTCCATAATAAAAGCCAGCGTCAACAAGACTCTCCACACTTAGGTGATGTCCCCTTGGCCATCCAGCAAAACTTTCCTGTCGTTTAACTTTCAGGGCATAATCAGCACGTTTGGGCCTCTCCGTTAGTATCCCAAGTTCACTATAAGTGGGCGTTGGTCTGTCTCTACTTGCATGTTGTCCATTTGTAGATGTTGGTGTGTTTGTTGGTCTGTCTCTGCTTGCATGTTGTCCATTTGTAGATGTTGGTGTGTTTGTTGGTCTGTCTCTGCCCGTTTGTTGATTGTGTGTAGATGATGGAATGGAGCGTCTCAGCTCAGCTGGAGTTGAGCTAACACTTGTGTGGCTGACCGTAGGTGCAGTAGAGTGAGTCTGTATAGGTAATGTTGTGTTGAGGGACCCAGTGGCTGTGGTGCTAATATGAGCTAAGGTTGGATGAGCAGGGGAAGTGGTGGAGGGCTGAGAGACGGCTGGCACAAGTTGAGTATTAGATGAGTACGTATTCGTTGCTGTTGATTGAGATGGATTATGTACATAGGAACCCGATGGAAGCACAAGAGATGTTGTATCCAAGCCACCGTTTTCTGTGTTAATTGTCTGATTGGTTCTGACAGTTTGTGGATCATTTGATACAATATTTGTTGGTGCAGAAGTACCTGCTAAATGAAGCCCACTTTCTTCTAAATTAAATGATCTGTTACCACTACCACACATAAGAGCTCTGTTCTGTGATTGTTGGGGAAATTCAGCCACCACCTGACTTGAAGCTTGACCTGGGGTTGGAGCTGAATCAATTTCCGTGAAACAGTTTCTCAACATATCACCGAAACTTGTTGGGAATGAAAGAGAGTTTAAAGGCACATTGTCACAGCTATTGCCAGTTACGATTGGACATTCAGGAGACATCACTCTGTGGACCTCCAAGATGTTGTCTAGCTCTCCCCAGTTGTTTTTCACTCCACAACAAAAGTAACACATGACTATATCTTCGCTCCCCATCCCAATATAAACAAACCCATTGGCAGCTAGCAACAGAGGAGATTTGACGCAGGTTCTTGGGTAACTTACAAACGTAGCTATTCGAAATCTTTCATCATGAAACCATGACCAAGGCATTCCTTCCAACTCTGAGGGATGTGGTTGGGAAGCATTTGGTACAAAATATATTTCATAATAGTGTGGCTTTGGGCGGAAATTTGTTAAGCATGTTGTATCTTTTATCCCACATTTTATATTGTCTTTAGAACTGTCACCTTGATGTTTGTAGTGGATTTTATGTCCCAATTTCGTATGGTTTAATGTGGCTTCCTTTTGTTCTATTGTCACCATTGTAAACTTGGTACATTTTTGCCTTTTATACGCTCCTCGAATACGTTTAACTAAACTTTTAAAGTCCTTTCCAACACATTCAACATTTTCATCTTTGTTGTCGGAATCGCATTTATCTGTTTTAATTTTTGCAAGAGTTCCGTTGTCGGAGCGATAATTAAAATCTTCCTCGCGGCTATCATTATATCTAACAAATCTAAGATAATAGTTGAGATCAATATAATTAGGATATTTTACTCCTTTTTCATAAAGTTCAGTATTTTCATCGCCATCTGTATCATGATATTTTACATATTTTTCATAAAGTTCGTTATTTTCATCAACTTCTTTGCCTTGGTCGTTGACATCTTGTTCAACAAGTTCAACATTTCCAAGAACTTCTTGGTTTTGATATTTTACATCTTTTCCAACAACTTCAAAATTTTCATCAACTTTTTTTTCATCATATTGTACATCATTTACGAACTCTGCTTTTCCATCAACGCTTCCGTCAAGACAAGAACTAGGACAACACGGTGATACACCATATTCTATTAGCGATTTTTCTTTCTTGAACAGAAATCTGAAATAACAACATTCTCCTAATATAATATTAATATAAAAAACAAAAATTAGATACTTTAGACCCCCAATTTTCCCATAGTATGTTATATCAGTTTCCTTAGACATCCACCCATTATATTGTTTGAATTTTCGTCGCATCATGCACCCACAAACAGAATCCAAGAAACAAATAAGGCAGAATTTATTTAACAAATTACGGAAATCGTATCATTCGTTGTTCAATTACATTTTTATTATCTTTGTCAGCTTTGAGCTTTAAAAGGACCTACATGTGTAATCCATTTTTTTTTTTAAAATTAATCACCGAGTTTATAGCTCAAATTCACGCACACATACATTTACACGCACAACAACGTATAGGCCTAAATATATATATATATATATATATATATATATATATATATATATATATATATATATATATATAATCACTTTTACACTTACCTTTTGCCATGTGATCCACACATTTATTTAAATGGTGAGTTTGATTAAGTCTGGTTTTGACAAATTTATCGTCTTTGTTTGATTTCTGATCCTGCGTAATATATAAAGGGAAACACTTAGAAAGGGGTCGGCCATAAATGGCGTCACTCCTCTGGGTAGAGGGGGATCACTAGACGGATGGAAAGAGTGAGTCAAGAACTATGATTGGACGTTAATTTTTTAAAATAAATAAAGTATGGAAAAAAAAATAAAGCGTTTGTTAATGTACAATTTTTTTTGAGTAGACGTAATTTAATGACGTCATTTTAATCAGAAGGGTCTGGGGAGGAGAAGGGCAGAACCTAAAGTGTGTACAAATCGAATAAAATCTTATTACGTCATTTATAAATATACACCGATCCAAATAAAACCTCTAGCTACGAAAAAAACGTTATTTTTAGACTGGTGTATTTAGGCCCAAGGATATCAAATTGAAGACATGCAGCATTTACCAGTTATAAAGGGAACTGATCATTTTATACAAAATATCAAAATTACACACATCGTCATTAAAAAAAAAATCCCAGAGACTCCCCCACTCAAATAAATTAATTTTTTTAACATCGGTTTTTCTTTCTAAAACCGTGACAGAGCTCTGTCAACATAATATATTTTAATCGATTTATTACAATTTATTGAAACATTTTCTATAGCACAAAAAAAAAACCGGCTAAACTTAAATTCAGTTTCTAATACTACTGATAAGAATGCAGAAGTGTGACGTCAAATTATCTAAACATCCTTCTCCCCCACATCAAACATTGTCAGAAAATTATGCCCCTCCCCCCCCCCCCCCCGCCTACGAGTTGACGATCTGTAACTTTTTTTTTCACGATGTTTATTTTGTCTTGTTCATACAAAGAGCTATACTTTTAATGATTTTCCAGTTTGCCAAACATTTAAGAAAAAAGAAGGGGTGGGGGGTAAGGGGGGGGGGGGGGGGGTGGGGGTAGCAAGTTTTAATCAGGCAGAAACTCAATATTAGGACCACTTTGACACACTTTATGAACTTGGAAAGATTGTAACCCACCAAGTGTTATACAATCATTCAATAAGTAAACAAAAAATAGTTTGCGTAAGTATTGCATCCTACATAGAAATGTAGATTTATTAAGTTTGTAATTATAATTGTAAATTTTTATTGTATTAAAAAAAACTTCTTTATTATAAAAAAACTTACTTGAACTTGTTCGTAATCGTCTAGTTGCTAAACGAACCAGCTTTGCCTTTATATATATAGCTCGAACCGGATAAAAATACACAGGTTATGTCAAAGCTCTAAATTTAGAGTTCTAGGGGAATACTAAACGGGAATTCCCAATATTATTTTATGCTTCAAGAAAAAGTTGAGTTTACAATGCCTAGAATCATTTCAGGACTAGGTTTATTGTTCCGCTGAGCGTTAAAATTATGGTTATATGGGATACTAACTTGAAAAAAATACTCTATTCGGTAATTTAAACTTTTTACTGCTACTAAAACTTATATGCGTAGTAGGCCTACATGTTCTTGAACTTTGTATAACATGATTCAATGATCCAGAACTTTCGTAATGGCGTGATTTTTCGATTAAGCTGCGTCATCGTCACGGTAAGAAGACTATAAATATGTATGATACATGTACACGTGTTTAAAACTACCTAAATAAATATTGATACAACCATATCGTGTTTACTTGTTTTTTTAAATTCACCACTTTTTAAAGACAGGAATTTCAATCCAGAATGTAAACTGTACATAAATATTGTGTTGGGTGTAGTTTTTTATTTTTTATTGGTCATTACTTGTTGGCATTTAGAACGTAATTATTGTACAGGACGTCATGGAGTGTGTCCGTTTGTGGGGAACCACTCGTTCTGTAAAGTTCTGCTGTGTATTGTGGGAAAAGGGTTGGGTTGGGGAAGTAAGAAACATTAGGAAGCATATATACTATATTAGAAAAGAAACAATATTAATATGGTAGGTAGGAGTCGGCGTGGTCGAGTTGGCAAAAGCTCACGGTTGATAAATTCGACAAAGTCTCGAGTTCAAACCCTCTAGCAGATAAGGCTAGATCCCTTCCAACACTAGCAATTAAGAACGAAGAAAAAGAAGAAATATGTTAGGTCTATTTTAGATCTAGGGTTAGGTGGGGCAGTATCATTACAGACCAATCAACGGCCCGTGGATATTATAAGACCATTAAAAAGCCCTTACTATTAACTGTATAAAAAAGGTAAATAATAAGGTCACAATTAAAAGCTACAGTTGGTAAACAAAAAGACAGCATGAAACGTTATTTATCATCGATAAACCATGGTTCATGTTCTTCGACCTTTATAGCGTAGGCATCCATCTATATTCTATATAAAATAGTTTAGCCCGTCGCGTATAGATTAGTCACATGATAGATGCATAGCCGATGTACAATAATACATACAAGAAAAAGTTTGTACTAGGTAAAATCATGAGAGTCCAGTCAGTAGGCCTACTCAACATTTGATTGTCACGATAAATAGATTAGACGAGAACTGCGAGATTTCTTATTCAAGTTAAATTCTCATAAATTAAAACAAACCCACATAAACAAATTGCATATATATGTAACGATTTTATAACAATTATATACTTTTTGAAACCGCAGGGGAGAGCGTATGGACGCTAACTCCAAAAGTCCCGAGTTCGAACTCACGTGCACATGAGGCCCGTAAGCTGGAGATAGCAAACCATCTTTGAGAAAAATTCTAAAATCAAATAACGGCAGCCTTGCAGATTATTCTTTGGTGGACAAAGGCAATGGAAGCAAATCCAGGATGAAAAGCAGGTTGAAGTCGAGGTCAATTGGCCATATGGCGCATATTAGGTTGACAAGTCATAAGCCTACTTAAAATGTGTTGGAGGATATATCCTACAATATAACAATTATTAACGAGTAAGAATGTAAAAATGCCATATGACCTAGTTACGTCAATTGTAAAATCATTCCTAAACGAATAACATGAATACGTTTTTTTCCCGCTATATAATGGTCCAAATTATGAACTTCTCTACTCGGAATCCTTGCTTTTAAGATAAGTCTTTGTCAGAACTTTAGCTTTTTATAGCTGTTACTGCGTGTATTCTAGATGACTCAGTATACTGCCTATTCAACTTTACCTTTTTAACATTTTCTCCCTCTAAAGCTAATTCGGCCTACCTCTTCAAACTACGGCGAAAGAAAGAGAAAATACCAGATAGAACTCCAAAAAATTATCCCCACCAACTACCTTTACCAGAGATTTATAGTTAAGATGCGTAATGTTTAAAATTGTGTGACGAACAGTTTTTACTTGAACTAGATAAGTTTTACTGTTAGCACTACCGAATTCTCGCCCTATGATTTTCTTGAATAACAGTTAACAATGAATAATTTACCAAAAGTTTTTGTCAGTCCCAAAATAGAAGCATCCGTGATTGCAACAAACTAAAAAAAATTAAAGTCTATTATTGAAGTAGATTCATCGCTAATGTTAAGGTCGCAATTCTAAACTGCAGTTGGAAAAAAAGACAGTACGAACGTGTTCAGCCCCCCCCCCCCCCCCTCCCCGCCAACGAAAAAGAATTCATATAGAAAATAAATATATAATCTTATCAGTGTCCGCCCCCCACCTTCCCCACGAGAAATTTAGCCCACCCTTTAAAATTTTAAGTCCCCCCCACCTACACCCCGGAGAAAGTAGTCTGGAAGAACCACTGCTGACGTGCTGATCCATAAATGCCGGAGAAGATCAGGGACTGTCTTATCTGTCAATAACCAGCAGGACTGCACCTTCTCCCTCAATTGCATCATAGTTTTAATTAACCTACTTCTTCAACACACTACTTTCACTTTCGTTATACGACGCATGTTATATTTCTAGTTTTAGTTACTCTATTATCATTTTGACGCACACGCCTACATAATAATAATAGTTAAATATCTGTTCTCGGACTAAGACCGTAAACACAAACAAACACTGCAGCTAGTAATCACATATTTTTTGGACACCCATTTTAGATGACTGCAGATTTACCGATTTCGTTGAAAGTAATACATTTTTTTATTGTAAATTAAAACCAAGCAAAAAAAAATTAAATACGCTATAAAACGCTGACGGTTCCATGGGATAGGTGAAGAAGAGTTTACCTGTTTCATTTACCTCGGCATATACATGAATAGTGTAGTCAACACTAAGCCCCGCATCGTTTATCTTCCCTAACGTTTGTCGGGTACCCACCAGAGCTGGGTGGACTCAGGGACGTTCAACAGACTCGAGCCAGGGATCCAAACTCTAGACTTTTGGGTTAGTATTTGTACGCTCTAGCTTTTTCCCACGCCGTCCCATTTCTTTTGGGATTCTACCTCAATCACTTCAAAAAAAAAATGTGGGGTCATTTGTTTCATTGTGCTCACACGTTCCAGAAATTCGTCAAGATCAGGGTTTCTTTCATGCATCTCTTCGGATGGCACCGTCCGCCCCCTCCCCGAAACACGTCTACCGACCCCGAAGAAAATAGATTTTATAAAAGAAAAAAAAATTATACTCTTTTACCAGTCCGCCCTGCGAGAGTTTCAAATTTCCCCCCCCCCCCCCCGAAGAAAAAAGCCTGAAAGAAACACTGGTCAAGATTATTTTGTCTGCAATTTCTTACCAACTCAAGAGATATCATCCTACTTCCTAACTGCTTCTGGAATATAATTTCTTACTACTTGCACTAAGAGGAAAACAATAAGTTCACGATGATCATACTGTCCCCAATTTAAAGTAACTTTAAATAAGCTTGCTACTTAGTATTGCGGTAAACTTTATACTGATTGCACATTTGTACTAGTATTAAAACAATTATTGCAATATATTCGTGAAATATTGTTTAATTAGTCTACAACTACTTAACTAATGCATTTATTTAATAAAAGTATGTAATACATTAACAAAGATAAATATACATTATTTTTAGAGAAAACTAAAAAAAAATCAATGTTACACTACTTCTTTAATTAGAAATGGGAAATAGCTTAGTCAGATGCATTCAGCATAAACCAAATGTATATTTATCTCTCATGGAAAACCCTTACCATTAACGAGTGAAAATTTTAACGACGGCCTTTAGCATAACTGCGGAGCTGTAGGGAGTCTAACAATAGCTTTTATTTTAATCTAAGAACAGAGTTTCTTCCAGGCATCTCTTCGGGGGGGCGAAGCCCCCCCGAAAATTTTTTACCGCCCCCCCGAACGAAATGAAATTTATATAATTTATATAGAAAATATATACTTTTAACACTGTCCGCCCCCCCGAAGAAAGTTTACCGCCCCCCCGAAGATTTCAAGTGCCCCCCCGGAGAAAAAAGTCTGGAAGAAACACTGTCTAAGAATAGCCTGTATTTTAAAAACCCCTTTTATATTTCGCTTTCCTTCTAATAATAACAGCTGAGGACATTCCTTTCAACAAATATTGGTAGAGTTTGACCATTATTATTGATCAGTTTCAGAATGTTGTCAAAACGTGGCAGTAGCAAATGTTTCGGGGAAACTCTAGATGTTATTTTTAACCCGGAATTATGAAAACATAAGAGGGAAGTAGAATATTGAAAACGAGCTGACCTGCTGTTTAATTCCTATATTTCAGTAATTCATAATTTGTGAATTCGACACTACCAATGCTGCGACTGAAAATATTTTGCTTTAAAACACTATGAGTAGCTAGTGAAGGACGATTATCCTCACCAAATTTTATAATTTAGTAACAAAAACAACGATTTTGCAATTGAATAAATAACTGTTAGAATTAGGTCCCCAAATGCTTTTTCTAGGTAGATTAATATTATATTTGCACAAAATTGAAGCCATTCGACAAAACGTTACGGAGCGGATGACACCAAATACTCCGTCCACTTAAGTGGATTAGGGTGAAACCACATAGAAAATTTACAAATATACCTATCATTCGATAAGAGAATTATTATAAAACAGCTCACGAGTGTGTAAGTGTGTGTATTTAAATGTATTTGTGTGTGTGTGTGTAAGTGTGAGTGTAAGTGTGTGACACCAATGGAATGATAGTTGTACATTTGATTCTGCTTAACTAATTTAGCCTTGTGTCGATGTTCTTACTTCTTTTTGTACTGATTTGTTATCCATGATTTGTGATATGTTTATGGGCTATTTTCTATTCCTGTTAAAAGTTGTGTGGTATATGGCTAAAATTAAATTAAAATTTGAAAGACGAAGTTCAGTCAAAAGTGAGTAGCTTAAAAAAAAAATAAATACATCCAGAACAAAAAAAAATATTTTAATACATATACACATGCTAGTACACATACTTACAAGTATATATGGGAATATATATATATATATATATATATATATATATATATATATATATATATATATATATATATATATATATATATATAAAATATAAAAAAATATAAAAAATTATATATATATATATATATATATATATATATATATATATATATATATATATATATATATATATATATATATATATATAATTTTTTTCTTGGGGGAGGGGGGGGGGGGCTGACACTATTATGTGCCGCACCGGGTGACTCCCGACCTCGCTACGCCACTGATACTGAATGATTCATTGCTCACAACAATGCTAGCTTGTCGCGTTTAAAAGACTCTTTTGCGATCAAGCTAATAAATTGTAACAGCTGGTTTATTGAGCACACCTTTTATTAGAAATAGTTCTTTGTTTACCAGCAAACATGTTATACACACGAAAAATCAAATATGTTTGCATAAATCCGTGACATTTAAAAAAAATGTAACTAGAATTTTTTTATCGCCTGCCATATTTTTTTAAAGATTAAAAAAATTTTAGGATGATTACATAAAATTTTCAAGCCAATCGACATATTATTTGTAAAAATTTTTTTAAAATAAAATATCCTCAATGTCACACAAGATGATTCAGTACATATCGGATTCTGTAGTAACAACCCCTTTCCACCTAATTTCAATGCAATATGACTGATGTATGTGTGGATACACCTGTTCAACAGACTATACTCTGGGATGTCAGGACGTGGAGTAAAAAAAGACTTTTCTTGTGATGATTTGTCCGAAACAAAAATTACTGTTTTAATTGTAATTATTTACTATAATAAGGCGTGAGGGATCTATTATAAACTTTCTCGAGTACAGAGTTTCTTCAAGGCATCTCTTCGGAGCGGCGAAGCCCCCCCACCCCCCCGAAAAAATTCTACCGTCCCCCCCCCCCGAATGAAATGAAATTTATATAATTTATATAGAAAATATATACTTTTAACAGTGTTCGCCCCCCCCCCCCCCACCCCGAAGAAAGTCTACCGCCCCCCCCCCGAAAATTTCAAGTGCCCCCTCTCCCCGGAGAAAAAAGTCTGGAAGAAACACTGCTCGTGTACACACACACACACTCGCACGCACACACACACACATACACACACACACACACACACATACACACACATACACATACACACACAAATGCACAAACACACACACACACACACACACACACACACACATACGCACACCAACATAGACAAAAACACATAAACATACACAAACCCACACACGTTAGGTGTCGAACATTGAATGTACACCTTTACCTACTGCAAACGCTCATCGTGTCACTTTATTATAAACCACACACACACACACACACAATTGACCTACACACAAACACAATAGACCTACACGGACACACGTTGAGATTGAGTCACACAAAAATTATTCATTTCCTGTAACAATATGAGCTTGCCGTGTTTGCAATCCTCTTTTTGCGCTCGATGCATTAAAATCCTGACAGCTGTATTAAAAGTTATTAAGGTATGATCGCATTTACAACTATTCATCCATGTATACACACGAGTTTTTTTTTGTTCGAATCTGTGGTACATAGTTTGGAAGTATTGAGTTAAGTGTTTAAATAAAATCCAGATATGGTTTCCATAATTCCTCTAACATCGAGGAGATTAAAGAAGCCTGTCATAATGCTGACAACACAATCCCAACATGTATTGAGGTCTCAACAGATCTGTTTTTTCATACTGTCTGGTTGAAAATGAACGCTCAAAAGTATCAAAGTTAAGTCTCTATGTACGAGACAGTAGGGTTTCCATAATTACTTTCACATCTAGAAGAGTAGAGAAGCCTATTAAATATATTTACAAAATAATTATTACCGCTGTTTTCTGTTCAACGTCCTGTAAGTCTTCGGAAATTAAAACATTAAACCGTAAACAGGGTATTTTTAAGCATTTTATTTAATAAAATAAACAAGTTAATAAAAAGTCTAGTGACAATTTAAGCGCAATTTCCTTATGTTATCCATAACAATTTTTAATTTTTTGTGACCGAACGAAAGGATATTTTTTTCCGCAAAAAAAAGACAACTATATTAACCTATATCAACGGAAATAGTTTTATTTTAACGAGTAGGCCTACACGATGCTCAGTTAAAAAAAAAGTAGTAAATATCATCCTAGGCCTACACGATGCTCAGTTTAAAAAAGTAGTAAATATTTTTTTGTGACCGAACGAAAGGATATTTTTGAAAACTTTCTTCGGCAATATTGTTCTAAATTATGGCAGAAATCGATTGGTAAATGTTTCAAGTCGCTAAGTGGTCTGGTTGCCGAGATATGGGCCAAAAACTGCATTTTTTCGAGGTTTTTGGCTTTTCCAGGAAATCCAGGAAGGAATTCCGGAATTGTTTTGGCCCACAATCATCCTCGGAACTTGCTAAACATATTTGCTTTTGGAACTAGTCCTCGATATTGCTTCGTTGAGGAGGAGATACGACTTAAAGCTGGGGACACACATCCATCCAGAAATGACGAGTTAATAATCGCAATTGTCCGTATGGAAATTGCGCTAAAAACGTCAGGTACCCATCAGATCTTAACTGAGGGTCGTTCTATGCACACGTCGGGTACCCATCAGATTTTGAAGGACGTTCTATGCACACGTCAGGTAGCCTACCCATCAGACCTTAACTGAGGGTAGTTCTATGCACACGTCAGGTACCCATCAGACCTTTACTGATGGTCGTCCTATAGATGCCAGCAGTGTAACTAATTTGTTACTTTGGACTATCTATGGGATGCATTACAGATATTTTGCAAGACATACTACAAAAGATTTAATAACGAAAGACATATTTTTTTGGTGCCCTATCTAAGCTGGCAACTAATTAACTGTTGTA